GCCACAATAATCAACCACATTGTATATCGACAAAATAAAATTTTAAAATAAATAAATAGATAAATAAATAAATAGACAGATATAAATAGATAAATAGATAGATAGATAGATAAATAAATAAATAAATAAATAGAAACCTCCCACTTGTAGAAAGAAGAGCTCAGATCACTAACTGTGCTCCTTGATGAAAACCACAATACTGAAAAGTAGATTCTTCAGAATTACAAATACGAAAATTGTTTGCAATGGGAATTTTTAAATTATGGAGTATATATGTATGTATATGCACACACACAAGCACATGCATTAAAAACACATATCATGTCTGATATTCACCGACTGTATAAACATCAGGTCAACAAGACCCACAAAAGCAATGTTAACACGCGGCAGCACTGCACAGGTTGATCGGAGGGCGACTGTGCCTTGCTTCGCAAGCACCCCGCTCCCAGAGCATCACACACGTGACAACATCACGAGGTCTCTTACTTGATGTGTTCCTGGTGCCCGGACCCCTGCACAGTTTTGGCGCCCCATCTTTGTTCTTTTTCACTGACATCATTCTGGAAAGAAAAACAACAGGTAAACCCCACACCCCGGACAGTAAAACAAAAAACCTAGGAAAATCACTGTAAGAAAAACAGAAAGCAAAGGTGGCTGGTGATTCCTACCACAAAGTCGGGGTCAGTTTCCCAGTCGTCAGCTCCCCCATCATCCGGGGTGATGGACACGGCGTGGCCTGCCGAAGCTTTCCACATCTGCAAGAGCAGCACCCAAGGTAACGGAGACCTCAGAGACCATCACCAGAGGTCAACAGACACACCCAGACCATAACTTCCGAGACACTAAGACAGCACACGGAGGGCCGGGGGTACGTGACCTCACAATCCTTCACAATCCCTAAGCTTGAATGACAACTGCAGGAATAAAAGAAACTTAATACTGAGAGCTCTAACACTGCTGTCACCTGGCATCAGAAACACACCAGAAATGCTCTTTGGCTTCAGCTCAAGTGAGAAAATTTTCAAGGAAACAGAAAAGTCAAGTGTGCACTTACTTCATCCAGTAAGAACATATCCCCATTCTGCTAAGTCTGAGGACAACACTGTTTTCCAAGAAAAAAAAAAAACACCATTTTGAGCTGCATAGCATTAGAGTATACCGAATGTCACTAAAGGTGAAATTCCTGATACACGATTTTTATCACGATTCAAAAAAAAAAAAAAAAAAAAAACACCATTTTGGGCTGCATAGCATTAGAGTATACCGAATGTCACTAAAGGTGAAATTCCTGATACACGATTTTTATCACGATTTTTTTAAAAAGAGCACCTATGGCCGGCCTGTGGCTCACTCGGGAGAGTGCGGTGCTGATAACACCAAGGCCCCAGGTTCGGNACCATCACCAGAGGTCAACAGACACACCCAGACCATAACTTCCGAGACACTAAGACAGCACACGGAGGGCCGGGGGTACGTGACCTCACAATCCTTCACAATCCCTAAGCTTGAATGACAACTGCAGGAATAAAAGAAACTTAATACTGAGAGCTCTAACACTGCTGTCACCTGGCATCAGAAACACACCAGAAATGCTCTTTGGCTTCAGCTCAAGTGAGAAAATTTTCAAGGAAACAGAAAAGTCAAGTGTGCACTTACTTCATCCAGTAAGAACATATCCCCATTCTGCTAAGTCTGAGGACAACACTGTTTTCCAAAAAAAAAAAAAAAAAAAAAACACCATTTTGGGCTGCATAGCATTAGAGTATACCGAATGTCACTAAAGGTGAAATTCCTGATACACGATTTTTATCACGATTTTTTTAAAAAGAGCACCTATGGCCGGCCTGTGGCTCACTCGGGAGAGTGCGGTGCTGATAACACCAAGGCCCCAGGTTCGGATCCCATATAGGGACGGCCGGTTCGCTCACTGGCTGAGCGTGGTGCTGACAACACCAAGTTGAGGGTTGAGATCCCCTTACCGGTCATCTTTATATGGGATTTTTTAAAAAAATAAAATAAAAAAATGAAAAGAGCACCTATTTTGATTTCAAGTACTTACTAGAAATATAACAATGATTTTCTTAATTCAGACTGACAACTTAACAAGTGTTTCAAGTAATTTATTAGAGGGTGCATTACTACTCACTTCGGCAAAAACACAGTATGTAAAATACCAGCTCCTCCTGTATCAGGAGGCTCTGGAAGTGGTTCGGCACCTTCCCTCGCTCGGGCCATAAGCCTGAGGTTCTACAGGTTACAGAGAACACATCTGCAGACACTAACCAGTAATCCTTTTTGTAACTGAAAAGGTAAAATCTAACCCTTAAGGGTTTAAAATTTTAAAAACTGCATATGAAAGGAATTGATTCACTTTCCAAAGAAATATTAATAAATATCTCATAGGCCATGAAACAAGTGAAAGATGATTTTAATTCAACCAACCAGAAGCTGCGCCTAGCAGTCTAAACTGAGGACATCCAATTTCCTCCTCCTCGGGCACCACACCACTACTCTGGTGGCTCGAGTTAAGACAGGACCAATGCCCTTCACTAGCGTGAGAACCCCCCACCCCCGTTAAGACCCACTCCTTCCAGTTCTCTGGAGTGGCAGTAGGAGGAGCACCAGGGTGTGGCACTCTCAAATGTTGAGATGTGACCCCTGCCACATCACCAGGGTGAGGAATTGTTTGCCATCAGGCAGGGCAGGACCAGTAATGCCCCTCAAACGAGGGGCACCTCCAACCTCATCTAGATGTCCCAAAGCAAGGCAAGACTTTCCCAACTATGATCTGCTTTTGACAGAATTTTAGAAAGAAGATGAACTAAAATCTTAGCAATGAAAGGCACAACCAGACAGTCTAGTCCCGCTCACACGCACCCGTTTACAAACAAAGAAAGGGCTGCAGGAAAGCCAAAGGGTCTGCCCACAGACTCACGTTCATCCCCCGGCACCACACCGTCCTGAAGACTGGCTGCCCACCTGCGGGCCTTCAGCTGCCTATAGTTTCAACCACTGAGGAGAGGGTCCCAGAAAAGGAGAGGGGGCTCGGTAGAGGGCTGGTAAGGCCAACTTTCACCAATAAGTCAAAGGGGAAAGCAGGTGTCTTTGCCCGTACTGCCTCAGACTCACCAGGGAAGGACTGGCAGAGTCCTCACTGATGTCTCTGGAAGCCAGCTTCCCCAGGGGGCAGAGTGGCACTTCCGCAAGCTTCACAAGGTTCACAAGGTCATGCCTGGCGGCTCTGCCCATTTTCCACAGAACACACAGAAAAAGGGCTACACTGCCTCCGAGGACAGAAACGACTCCTGTCCCTCAATTCCAGAGCTTTCTGCAACTCCCTCCTCTTTCTAAGTCACAGGCAACGGTAGAAACTGGACTGTATTTTTTAAGCAATGAAATTTCCTTCCAGACGACTGCTGTCCCTCTCCCTGCAAACCCACCAGCACAGCACACCTCGCCACCCCCTTGCTAGAGGGATTTGACCTCTACCATGCGACGGGGAAAGAATGTTGCCGAATGTTCACAACTGACAAACCTCTCTTTCCGGCTGAAGATGAAAGGCTGCTCACAAAACTCTGTTTAAAACACAGTAATCCAATGAAGAACTTCCAGGCATTTGGGAATGATTCCGTCTGTAAAAAGATTTAAGGGTAAAAAGCTCAGAAAGATTACAGCTGACAGAATCTCTTGACCAATCCCTGTGTGTGGAGATCTTTTCAGAATACCTCAGAAATCCTCCCAAACATAACAAGAAAGAAATTTGAAAGGAGGATGGGAAGATTTACATTTTACTAATCAAAAAGCTCAATATAGAGGAAATTAAGAAATAAGAAGTTTCAAAAGATTTATAAATACATGACGTTTCTTCTTAATGCAAACAGAAATTATGACCTCAAGTGCTAGCGTACATTTCCTGTGTGCTATAATCCTAACAGATTTACAGTTTTTGTTCATTCTAATTTATGACATTGCTAAAAACAATAAAATTCTATTACTGACTTTTTAAAAAAATATAAGAAAAACACTCCTTGAAGGGATCACGATGTGGCTGAGAGAAAAAAACCAGTACATCCTCGGAGGGCTAAGAAGTAGGCTGCATTTCTAATGAGCGTATTTGGTTACTGCACAGAGAACAGGACTCCAATTCCCCAGACACAGCACTACCAGACATCACACGTTAGATGAATAAAAGCCCTGTGTCCCCAGGAACAGGCCGGTCACAGGCAGGGCCACCTGAACCAGCATGCAGCTTCTCACGCCTCGGCCCGGCCCGAGCACAATGGCGCCCAGCTGGCTCTCCCTGTACTGCACTTCATTAATTTCCTATGTGGTTCCTGCCCCAACTATGTGCTCCTCTCCCTCCCAAGTCTCCTCTGGAAATCCTAACTTCTGTGGACTGCTAAGTACATTCTGGCCACTGCACTTACTAGTGTGATCAGCAAGCATCTATAAAAATCCACCCAAAGGCAGCTAGTGATAGGCTCTAATCTTCAATAATTTTCCCCTCTATACTTTAAAAATCATGAAAATAACTGACTGAAAAATAAACGGGTATTTTTTGGGTCCAAAGATGATGTCCCTGGACCACTACCTCAACACTATACACAAAAAATAACTAAAAAGTAAAGTCCTAAATAGGTGTGTGGTATTGTGAAAATATATCTTTGGTCTCCATACCTATCTCCTGACATACAACTCCTAAGATCCTTAGAATCTCCAAAATGATAAGTTCTTTTGTATGCTAATAGTGCTGGCAGCCCCCAGGTGGCTTCAGAATGGGGCTGGCCACAGAAAAGACCAAGGTGGACTTTTAGTCCCACCCCCCCAACTCAGAGGGGAGAGAGGCTAGAGGTTAAGTTGATCACCAGTGGTGAATGATTTAATCAATCCTGCCTATGTAATGGCACCAACATAAAAACCCAAGAGGCCTGGGTTCAGGGAGCTTCTGCACAGCTGAACTCATCCACGCACTGGGAGGGTGGCCCTCCCCAATTCCACCAGAATGGAAGCTCCAATTCCACCAGAATGTGCTTGCGCTTGCTCAGGACACTCCCAGACCTCACCCTATGTATCTCTTCATCTGGCTATTTATTTGTATCCTTTAAAATATCCTTTGTAATAAACCAGTAAAGGTAAGTACTGTTGTAAGCAAGTGTTTCCCTGAGTTCTGTGAACTTCTCTAGCAAACTAATCAAACCCAAGGAGGGGTTGCAAGAACCTGATTTATACAGCTGGTTGGTCAGAAGTTCCAGAGGCCTGGATTTGTATCTGAAGTGGGGGGCAGTCTCAGGGACTGAGCCCTCACCCTGTGGGATCTGACACTATCTCCAGGTAGACAGTGTTGGAATTAAACTGAATTGGAAAACACCAAGCTGGTGTCCACTGGAGAATTCCTGGCTTGCTTGCCAGTGGGAAGAAATCCCCAAACATTTAGTCACAGAGGTCGGTCTTCTGTGTTGATGACTGTGCTGTGAGAGCAGAGAAAAGTCGGTGTGTTTTTCACACTTACTCAATGTGTAAATTTTCGTGACCTTGAATCTGGCAATAGTTTCTCAGATGTGACACCAAAAACACATGCAAGAGAAAAAATAGATAAATTGAACAAAATTTAAAACTCTGTGTTTCAGGGCCAGCCTGTGGCTCACTTGGGAGAGTGTGGTGCTGACAACTCCAAGTCAAGGGTTAAGATCCCCTTATTGATCATCTTTAAACAAACAAAACAAACAAAAAAAACTGTGTTTCAAAGAACACCATCAAGAAAGTGAAAGGACAATCCATTGAAAGAAACTATTTTCAAACCATATATCCAGAATATGTAATGAACTCTTACAACTCAATAAAGAGGACAAATAATCCCTTTAAGAATGGGTGAAGGATCTGAATAGACAATTCTCCAAGTAAAATATACTAAAAGTCATGAAAAGATGTTCAATATCATTAATCATCAGGGAAATGCAAATTAAAACCATAACAAAATATGACTTCACATCTACTAGGATGGCTAAAATCACAAAGACAGACAATAACAAGTGTTGATCAGGGTGTGGAGAGATAAGGGCCCTCAGGTATTGCTGGTGGGAATGGAAAATGGAAAATGAAAAGGTCTAGCAGTTCCTCAAAAGGTTAAAGTAGTAACTGTACGACCTAGAGCCTCTACTCCAGGTGTACCTGAGAAACGGATGTGCGAATCCACACAAAAACTTTGACATGAATATTCATAACTGTATTCATAATAGCCAAAAAGCAGAGACAACCCAAATGTCCAACAAATGAACAGATACAAAATATGTGTTCTATCCACACAACGGAATACTACTCAGCTATAAAAAGGAATGAAGTTCTGACATATAGTATAATGTTGATGAGCCTTGAAAACGTCATGCTAAGCGAAAGAAACCAGACACAAAAGACCACACATTACAGGACTCCACTTATACGAAATGCCCAAAAGTGGCAAGTCTATAGAGACAAAAAGTACAGTCACGGTTGCTCAGGGCTGCAGGACATGGTGGTGGTGAGGGATGGCAGGTGATGCTGAAGAGTACAAGGTTTCTTTCTGAGGTGATGAAAGTGCTCTAAAATTGATTATGGTGATGGCTGTACAACTCTGTAGATATACTAAAAATCACTGAACTATACACATTAAATGAATGAACTGTCTGGTCTGTGAATTGTATCTCAATGGAGCTGCGACCAAAAAATACTGTTAAAAAAATAAAATGCCTCTACCTAGCACCATTAATATTAAACCTCCCTTGCAAATGTCACGTGTGCAAATCAAGATTGCACAAATATGAAGTAGCCTTGCCCTGTGTAAACAGTGGAATAACTCCTGTACAGAACATTTTAAACGATGGGATAAAACCACTCAGACAGAATCAGCCTTCCCTTAACCTCACCACCGCCTGGCAGAAAGCCGGAGAGCAAACAGGCATCTGAGCAGCCATGACGGGTATCACAGGCCCACTCCCCACACCACACTCCCCAGCACCCTTACTGCAGTTTACTCAAAGCAACGTGAGAGCAGAGGGGAGTGGGCTTGCCTGTACCTGACCACAGGGAGGGCCAGCCGAGACCACAGGCCCCTGCTCCCAACCGCCCCAGGCCATGGGAAGATTACGACACAGTAACCAGCGCCCACAATGACTCACACGTTTCACCAGCACTTTCTGAGCCCTAATGCGTGGCACGGACCGAAGGTCTGGATCACCAGTCAAGTTCACTGAATTTTAAAGTGCCAAAAGTGTTTTAAAGACAAGTCCATAAAAACGCTTCCATTAGGGTCGAGCCCGTGGTGCACTCGGGAGAGTGCGGCGCTGGGAGCGCAGCGACGCTCCCGCCGCGGGTTCGGATCCTATATAGGACTGGCCAGTGCGCTCACTGGCTGAGCACGGTGCGGAACGCTCCCGCCGCGGGTTCGGATCCTATATAGGACTGGCCAGTGCGCTCACTGGCTGAGCGCTGTGCGGAGGACACCACACCAAGGGTTGCGATCCCCTTACCGGTCACGAAAAAGACAAAAAAAAAAACGCTTCCATTAAAAGTCAGCTTTACTGGACGTAAACTTCCTATTACTGTGGGACCTAATAAGAAAAATAACTCTGCCTCCCCAGTGCTTTATTCCTGTATGTCTGAAAGTCCCACCTAAAAGGCTCTTTCTTCCTTGTTGTTCGACTATCCGGAGGATTTTCCCTGCAGGGCACTGACTCAGCGCGGCTGGCCCAGGAGCGGGTCAGCCAAATCGAATCATAGCCCCAAAGCAGCTCGGGCACACCCTGCACGGCCCCGGGGAGCGCTCAGCGGGGCGCGCGCGTCTGAAGAGCCAGCCCCAGGGCGCCCGCCCCTCTCCCGAGACCCCCGGCGCGACGGACATCCGCGGGAACATCCAGGCGGCCGAAATACAGCAGGCAGAAAACCCCACAGCACCTTTCCGACGACTTCCAACACATGCACGGGACGAACGGTTCCAAATTTAGAGCCTCCCGACCAGCGGCAGCTGCGCCTGCCGCCGCCGCCTTCCCACTGACCTGG